TAATATCCTCCTCCTTTTTTTCTCTAACAGATGTCTGCTGTACATACGCTGCAGCTCCTCAAACTTTGAACAAAATAAAGCATTTTTTTTTTCAAATTACTTTCCAAATTTAGAAATAATTTTCCTTCATTTAAGTAGTGTGAGAGCGCAACGATGCTCTAAATGTGTTGGCATTGCAACGTGATACTTCCTGTTTCCTTTTCCTCCTGTCCTACTAAGGCCGTCTCGTTTAATTCTAGGTTGAGGACACTTCGTATATGCATCCTACAGAGGATGCGACCTCCAGAGGATTCGACCTTCGGAGGGCGCAGCCTTCTAAACGAGACACAGCTATAGTAACTTGGGCTATGTGTGCTGACAAACAATATAAAAACAGACATCACATAGGGCTACATGCATAGCATTTTAATAAAACTGCTAATATTACAGCAGCGGGGAAGATGAACGTGCATGAGTTATTTTATTTAATCTGTGTTATTTTAATGTTTTTTTACCTAAAACATAGAGACTCTGATGTTGATGTGTCTGCATTCAAGCATTTCAGTGGGCTTAAATAGATCACCCTTTACAGCAGATTTAGTTCACAAACAACTGACAGCTTTGACCTAAATATGATTTTCAGTTACAATAATTAATCCTAAAATTCGACATTAATAACTTACTTTTAGCAGTATCAGACGCGCGCACGCTCACAAGATCTCCCAGTTCTTACTTGTGAATTCAGTTCACTGGAGACTCGCACTAAATGGATCATTTGAGTCAGTGAGTTGTCGACTCGAGAACAGCTGCAATCGAATCATTCCAATTCGTGATTGAATCGTTTGGTGCGATTTGCGAACCGATTTAAAAGGTTCATTGAAAATAATCAGTTTATTCATGAATCAGACACAGCTTCTGCGTCTCGGAGCACGTGATATATTATAAGAAGTAACGATATGTTTTATGAAATGTAGTGAAGTAAAAAGTACGATCTTATGCTTTGGAATGTAGTGAAGTCAAAGTAAAAGTTACTCAAAATAAAACTACTCCAGTAAAGTACAGATACTTAAAAAATTTACTTAAGTACAGTAACGAAGTAAAACTACTTCGTTACTGTCCACCACTGGGATCTAGTAAGGGAATGCATTCAAACAATAAATTCAAAACAGCGCTAATGCAGAGAAAACATTTAATCAGAGATGGCAGAGATAATAGTACTCACGTACAGATGTCAGTCAATTTATTTTCCAGCATGTAGCTATTTGGCTTAAACGTGTTTGTGTTTTATACTGGGTGCTGGCTGAAGGTGTTTTAGATTACGTAGTAGTCAGGGGTTTAGTAATTCTGCATGGATCAGTTAGGTCAAGGTAGCTCATTTAGTGGTCTTTTGGAATCTCCCTGTGGTCCTGTTTGGTATCACAGCTTGACTTATGCAATTTTTTTTAACTGAAAGTGCTGTAAAAAAACGTATGTTAATTTTCTGTGAAGCTGCTTTGCAAGGATGTGTCTCATGAAAAGCGCTATACAAATAAATGTGAATTGAATCGCAAACAATTATTTACTTGTTTATTTATTGTGGCACTATATACTTTAATTGTAAATTATGAAAAATTAAGAAGTACTTTTTTTAGTACTTTCGTTTGTGTTTAATTATTCGTTTACTTATTTTTACAACTTTTCACAACCTTTTTTTCCACTTAAAGTACTGATTGCGTATCATATGCATGCCAAAGTCAATTTCTTAGCAGCACACAATTATTTGTTGTACAATAGTTCTGCCTCTCTCAAATATAACAAAAAAGTATTTAACAAAGTTAATGTAATGAATTGTGTTTGATTATATTTGTCTTTGTTATTTACTTTGATTTATGGAGTCTTGTGAATTTCTTAACCTGATAAATTAAAAGGAGTTATGTTAAAATAACACAGAGCAATAACACATTTTTACATCTATGCAAATGCATATACAATATTTGTAACTTAAATAATTAATAATAAAATAAAGAGACAGTTATTTAACAATATGTTAAGGAGTAGTAACATTTGTACAGTCTTACAGTTACAACCGGCCCTTTGAGGGCAGTCAAAGTGTTGAATTGGCCCTCAGTGAAAATGAGTTTGACATCCCTGCCTTAGACGCTACTGAGCTGCACCTGAGGAAAGCCACAGAAGCGTAATTGTCCTTGCTTTTTCTCCTGATAATTCAGTTATGTTTTCATAAAAAGTGAAAATGTGAGACATCGTGAATGTAAAAACATGCGAGTACACATTTCATATGTGACTAAAAGCGAATAGCTTGTATATGGTGGTTATACCCAGTGTTGGGCAGTAACGCGTTACTGTAACGCAGTTACTTTTGACAGTAACTAATACTGTAACGCATTACTTTTTAAATAAATTAACTTACAGTTACGTTACCGTTACCATATGGTGCGTTGTCCGTTACTTTTTTAAATTAATTAATTTTGGCTGAAGTGTAGCCTACAGCCTAACCTGTTTACAGCAGCGACGCATTGTAGGATTGGTGGATGCCAACCACTGTAAACACGAAGACGCACTGTGGGCGTGTTTCCATTTATTCAAGTATGTGCGGCAGTCATGGTGAGTCAAGGCGAGAGCAAGACGAGTTTCTCAAAGTGGAAATATGCTCATTATTTCACTTTAGTTGAGCATAAAGACAAAAACCTTTTAGTCAAATGTAAGCTGTGTCTTTCTGGTTCGAAGGTCCTATCTACTGCGATAAACAGCAACTCCAATCTGTCGAAGCACCTCCAGAAAGTACATGCCTCGACGAAGCTAGAAGCTAACCCGGTGTCGGTGGACACACTCGAAGTGAGTCAAGCCCCTCCAGCCAATTGTACATTGTTGATAGTTTTCATACTTAAGCTGTGAAAGGAACATTTTTAAGGGCTCAACACAACAGCTTTTATGATGCAGAAGCCACTTTAGTTTTTGATTCTGAATATATTAGTAAGCTTGTTTTGTTATTTATTTCAGAAATCCTTGTGATATATTCAGTTTGTGCTGGTCTGACTTAAATAAAAGTGTTTAAAAATTACTTTGTTTAAGTCAGTTTTGTGTTTGTATAGACCATAACGCATAAAAGGGCATCAATGGGAACATTAAAGACCGTTCTTTAAAAAAGTAACTAAAAAGTTACTTTTAACAGTAATGAATTACTTTTTGGTGTAAGTAATCAACAAAGTAATTGAGTTACTTTTTGAATGAAGTAACTAGTAACTGTAACTAGTTACTATTTCTTAGTAACTAGCACAACACTGGTTATACCCCCGATAATTCAGGGATTATTAATCTGTCTACATGTTCCACACCAAGGACCTGTAACATTAGCATGCTTACTGGGGGTTATGAGGAATGGGTGAATTGATAAGAGCAGGAAAGTGGAATTATTGCTATTATTATCCCCACTTGCCTGGCCCAAGTATTTAAGTACCAGTGCCCCTTACCTATTTCTGCCGAGGCTCCCTCTAGAAATACAAACGCCCCCCAGTTTGTATGCTCTGGATCCGACTCTGAAGCTCTCTGAAGGTAACTAGGTATGCATCTAAAAATAAGATAACCATGGCTACAGTCACTGCAGTTGTTTCCACGGCTAGTGAGCAGGCATTTATTCAATATGGCATTGTGCGTATTTATGCTCCCATAACATCACTACTATGGTGCAAGGTTAAAATTCCCTTGAATGGGAACATTTTAGGATTATATATATAACCTGGTTCCCTGAGAAGGGAATGAGATGCTGTGTCATGTTACCATACTTCAGGCATGCCTGAGTATCACGTCTTGCTTCAGATTGCCATGAGAGACACAGAATATCACACAATGGGTTTGATTACTGGAAACTCTACAGAGAAGATGCTGTTAGTGTTTTAGCTTGTTTTTGTATCTAAATTATTTTGATGCTTTTTTGTCTTTAACATCACAAAATGTTGTTTAAGTCGTGTGCAATTTTCATTTATCATAAGGCTCCTGCCATCCTGGAAAATTGTTCATATTTGAATTATTTAGGCTGGCCCATGTCAAAAAACTGTTCTCATGCCTCTGTATTTTAGCCTCCATATTCTAGGGATTACATATGGCTTGGGCCCTTCATTCTAAATTCTTGGGATTTTTTAAAATCAGTTTTATCATCATCAGTTTGTTCACAGTCCTAACCCAATGTGCAATAGCTATAAAGATTATTGTTTTAGTAAGCACCATTAACTATAAAACCCACAGCTGCAGTACATACTATGCTGGACACCTCTTATATGTGTTTTATTATTACTGAGTCATTGACAAATCAAGCAAGTTATTTTCTATACATGAGATTATGTGGGAATGGAGGTAATTTTTAGTGTTCCCAATGTCAGTGTCTGCAGATCTTTTTACCATGGATGATGTTTCCTTTCTGCACCACCGATCCCAAAGGCAAATGTTCACCAGCTTGTTTGGATGGTATTCAAGATTTGCTTTGCATTTTTGTCCTTGGAAAAATCATCAGTTGGGTCTGTAAAACAGAGTACTTGAGAGAAAGTCAGAAGGCAACAGGTTTTAAGGTATATCAGAATCCTAAATATATTGTGATCATGAAACACCATGAACTTTTGATAAACATTGGAAGTGTTTGATTTCATCTAAGCTTGGTTAATCAGTAATGGTTTTGAAGGATTACAGTAGAACTAATAAAAACATTTTGTTTGTATGTTGGTTAGATGAGAGCCAAATCTTGGACCACTACATTAACCAAACTGTGGATAACATGCAAAAAATAGTTCATGCCATATTTCTCTGCCCACAGTTTTTCTTAGAAATATTATGTGGCTTCTTTGATTGGTTAAATGCACCTGTTTTGTTTGCTCTGTCTTTAAAGGTGTGCTATGATTGGTCACACCATCACACTCATTTGTCATTGGCTGTATGTCAGTTTAAGTAAGATAGAGTCAGTGTCATCATGCACAGTTCTGTCCTCAACTTCAACTGATCACTGAAAAATCACAGAAACTCTTCAGTGGAAGAAGATGAAGACGACACTCGCTCTGCTTCTAATCATGGAGCTCTACTGTCTCTCCTCCGGTCTCAAACAACATTTCTTCGTGAATGAGCAGAAGAAATGGTTTTGTGCGCAAAAGTACTGCAAAACGTATTTTAATGTCCTCTCCGCCTTCATCAATGCGAGTGAGGAACAGCGATTTTTAGCTAATGCGTCTGGTCAAGCTTCTGATGCCTGGGTTGGACTCCACAAAAAGCCAGAAACAGGAGTCTGGAAGTGGTCAGGAGGTATAGATGCTGAACAAATTAGCTGGGATCCTGCATTTAATCAACCAAATAACCTTGACAATGAAAACTGTGGCTTTCTATACAAAACCAATAATAAATTGCATGATGAAAAATGCAATATCACTAAACCCTTCTTCTGCATGACAAACTTTGTTCTGGTGCATCATAAAGAGACCTGGGATGGAGCTCTGGAATACTGCAGGACTCATTATAATGATCTGGCAAGTCTGAGCACAATAAACAGGATGAATTCTGCTTTACTGGAAATCACACAGGCTGAAACAGTGTATGTGTGGACTGGTCTGCATTATCTAGCAGGGGACTGGTTATGGGTCACTGGAGATGATCTTGACTACACAGCCTGGTATCAGAACGAACAGCCCCAATGTCCTGCCAGAGACCTTCGTTGTGGAGCCCTGGACAAGCAAACAAAGCTTTGGACACACAGAAACTGTGAGGAGAAGCTCAGCTTCTTTTGTCAGTAGAAGGTATGTCACTTGAATGGCCTTTTCAGGATCCCAGATTTTAACTATAGATAGATATAGTGTCATTATGATATTTGGGCCAGCTGACATCTTTTTACCTTTCATCTTTTTGACCTTCATATGTTATAGCAACCTTTAACAACAACAGTTAAACATATTCATTACTAATAAACACTAGCTTTATTGCTAATCTTGTATGTATGTTTTTTTATTATTATTGCCAAGCTGGGTGACTAGTAGAGTGGATTGCTTCAACAGCGTTTTCTTCTACTCACTCAAAGCATTCGGTAATAAGTATAATTTCCTGCTCTGCACTCACTGGAAAGAAGCCTCGGACCGGGTTTACTGCATAAAGCAGATTGTTTGACTGTATACTTCCTAACCTAATACAAAGAAGAACATTGTGGGCCAATGTTAGAATTAAAGTACTAGTTTTCTTCATTTTGGTCATAATTTTTTTTTTTCAGGAGGTATAGATGCTGAACAAATTAGCTGGGATCCTGCATTTAATCAACCAAATAACCTTGACAATGAAAACTGTGGCTTTCTATACAAAACCAATAATAAATTGCATGATGAAAAATGCAATATCACTAAACCCTTCTTCTGCATGACAAACTTTGTTCTGGTGCATCAGAAAGAGACCTGGGAAGGAGCTCTGGAATACTGCAGGACTCATTATAATGATCTGGCAAGTCTGAGCACAATAAACAGGATGAATTCTGCTTTACTGGAAATCACACAGGCTGAAACAGTGTATGTGTGGACTGGTCTGCATTATCTAGCAGGGGACTGGTTATGGGTCACTGGAGATGATCTTGACTACACAGCCTGGTATCAGAACGAACAGCCCCAATGTCCTGCCAGAGACCTTCGTTGTGGAGCCCTGGACAAGCAAACAAAGCTTTGGACACACAGAAACTGTGAGGAGAAGCTCAGCTTCTTTTGTCAGTAGAAGGTATGTCACTTGAATGGCCTTTTCAGGATCCCAGATTTTAACTATAGATAGATATAGTGTCATTATGATATTTGGGCCAGCTGACATCTTTTTACCTTTCATCTTTTTGACCTTCATATGTTATAGCAACCTTTAACAACAACAGTTAAACATATTCATTACTAATAAACACTAGCTTTATTGCTAATCTTGTATGTATGTTTTTTTATTATTATTGCCAAGCTGGGTGACTAGTAGAGTGGATTGCTTCAACAGCGTTTTCTTCTACTCACTCAAAGCATTCGGTAATAAGTATAATTTCCTGCTCTGCACTCACTGGAAAGAAGCCTCGGACCGGGTTTACTGCATAAAGCAGATTGTTTGACTGTATACTTCCTAACCTAATACAAAGAAGAACATTGTGGGCCAATGTTAGAATTAAAGTACTAGTTTTCTTCATTTTGGTCATAATTTTTTTTTTTTCAGTTAGTTTAGTGGTAGTTGAGTTTAGAGGAGCTGGATAGAGGACTGCATAGATTTTATTTCTATTTTTCCTCTTGCGTTTCACAGTGATGTTTTTGAGAGTATTTCGGTCCACTGTACTTCACGTTTTTTTTAGTTGCAATGTAATGTATCGATGGTGATTTCTGGTGTCATTTTTAAGTAGTGTCTCTTGTGAAAATGTTCTTTACAAGACCTTTGGATGTTTGAAGGGAGAGCATTCTGATCACCCTAAATTCTAAATCTTGGTTGTGCAGAAAGTACCTCTGACCCAAAGCATTAGTGTCTATAGGGAGAATCTCACAAATGCTACATTTCTCCACTGTGTATCAAGAGCATGAAATGGACATGAGAAAACTCTAGTATTTGGTCCTGGCTGAAAAATTCTGCCATTAGCAGGGACTGAGTCTATATGGTCAGTTTTAGAAATCAGAGATACTGTAGGCCTAAGCTGAATAAGTTAAACGTTTAAATTATGCATGTTTCGATCTCTGTTAATGTTACCCACAAAAAGCGGGTACATTTGGACAAATCTCGGCTCTTATTTCATTAATATTCTGTAATTATTCACCATTAAGCACATCCAAAATAACCACTAGATAAAATGAAGATCGATTTTTATTGTAACTATGGACTACGTTGACAAGAGTGACGTAGAATTCACCATGAAGCTAACACTGGTGATGTACAGGAGAGAAAACGAATTTCACAGTAAATGATTGTCACGGTGTGCCTATTGTGAGGAGCGAAAGAACGTGGAGACGAAGGAGAATCCAATAAACAGTCTTTATTTATCCAATCCATGGGACGGACGCACACGCACACACAGGACTCAGGAAACACAGGACTTAAATACACACGGAACGTAATCAGGGAGAACTGAAAGAGGGGGAGTAATTAATCAAAAACCATGGAAACTAATGAGGGAACACCTGGGGCAAGTTCAAGCTCAAACCGGTGTGCACCGTTTTGCTACGGTTTCCGGTTTGAACGACATGCTTCCTGGAAATGGTGTGCAACGGGGTTTGAGATGTGTTTTTTCTTGTTTGGTGGGTGTGTCCAGGGTGTGTCAAACATGTCAGCCCAGTCAGCAGCAACATGTATGTA